TTTTATAAAGATAATAATTAAGTATTTTGTTAGAACTCAATGATTATCCTAATTATAATTAGATTTTTTATATTTAAAATAAAATGTTTATCCTGTATTTGATTGTGTTTATCTGCAGTTAGTTACACGAATTCAGTTATGTGATGAAATCGGATAGKGATGAAATTGTTTAGGGATGAACGGGTTTAAGAGTTTAAGAGTTTTAAGAGTTTAAGAGTTTTTAAGAGTTTAAGCCAAATGCTTTATAATATAGTATAGATTTAACAATTGTTTCCTTTTATAGATTATGATTTTGTAAAAGATAATGAATTATCTGCAATTAAACAATCATATAAAAATGATATAATATTCTATAAATAAACAAGATATATTTGTATTTGTTAAATAATATTTTATATGTTTAATAAATAAATTTTGCATTAATTATTTAGATTGCCTTTATCATTTAAACTAAATTATATAAATTTCTTTTTTATCTCAACGTGAGATCTCTAATGGAATTAAGAAAAAACAATAAAAAAAAGAGATACCACATAATTGTTCACTAAAATTGTGAAAAAAAAATTATATATAGATATCATAAAAAAGGGTTACATTTGGTCATGATTAGTCAAGTTTTAACACATCTTATACAGATCGGTGTTGCAATTTAGGAGGTTGATTTATTGCTCAAATTACATGTTTCTACTTGAGTTCTCGTCCTTATGCGGGACTGTTTGTGGATCTAGTATGGTTGTGGAAGAGTTTTGGAGGTCTATTTTTTAGTTGTGGTTAGTTGGAGATCCATTGAAAAGATAGAAGTTTAATCGTGAAAAAACGATTAATTTGGTCGTTAGGCCCATTCAAAAAAAGCCCAGGTATCACCAAATCAATTAGCGGGTGATCCACATGACCGCCTTCCAAATGGGCCTTCTTGAACTCAAAATAGGATTAAAATCTGAACCGGCCAACAAGTCATCGAGGAGCAAAATGGCGATATGTTCCACCCCAAATAAACAACTTCTTAAATTTATCTATTTTGCAAACTTTAATTATTTCATTTCAATGTAATAAGCTTTCAATAATATTTGGTATATTGATTAAGGAAAATCTTGTTCAGATTTTGGCAAATATTGTATTTGACATATAGAAATTAAATCAATCTTTCTATCTATCTCTTTCATATTTTCCAGCAAGTGCTATTACGAGATGCATGACGCAAAAGTCATGTGATTAATTAGAACCGACCACCAAAATTAGATATCCAACTATAAGTTGGATCGAAATATAAAATTTCAACATCCAAATCGAACAGATCAATTATTAGATAACAATCCAACATCCAATAAACCGATATAATCCAATTATCATTATAGCATTGCATTCATAATCCAATGAAAGTCAGTGTGATTTTTTTAAAATAATAGGGCTTAACAGCAAAATCACGTAAAACAAGGGGGTGAAGATGTAAATATAACATATATCAATAAGTCCTATAAGTCCAAGAAAACATCGGCATATAATTCGGTTCAAGATATGCTAGTCTAAAGAGATCGTGTTGCCATTTAATCTCTCCATTGGGGTATATATAGATGTATATATGTAGATGTCTTTACAGAAAGAGGTGCGGGGAATTTAATGATGACGAAGGAACCATTCATGGGAGATTGCGCTCATTGTGGACAGAGTGCGCATGACTCAAGAGCATGCAACAATGGAAAAGTTGGTAGTTTGAAGCTTTTTGGTGTGAGGATTGATCCAAAATCACATCAGCTTCATGGGAAGGAGAAAGGAGATGATCGTCATGGATCTGTTAATTGCATTGGTAATTTAATTCGCAAGTGTAAAAGCATGGAGAGCTTAGAGGCATGCAACATTGACCCGAGTTCCATAGATCGTGGTTATCAATCGGATGGCCCTCCTGATCGATCCCACAACGCCTATAACAAAACGAAAGGTTTGTGTTCTTTCTCAAAAACATTCCAACTAGACAAAACTTTCAAGGGTTTTAGTTATCTCTGGGTTTTTGATGTTCTAATGATTCTGTTCGTTGATGATCTAGTTTGATTAATGTTACATGTGGGTATCTGATTCTCTTTTTGAATTGTTCAACGTGTAGTTTAAATTTTGCACTCAAAGTGTTTGAAGTTTTGCTTGTATGAACCATTCATTTCTCTATCAAAGCCTAAAAGACATGATCCAACTTTTGTATTAACCTGCAAAAGATAAGTGATTAGAATCCATGACGCCAAGCAACAAAGCTTTTCTTATTGAATCATTGCTTCCAGAAAGCTGTGAAGTTCGATCCCAGTTCATCAAAAGCTCTTAAGCTGCCGTTATATGCAACAATTCTGGTTAATTTTTGCGAACAAGTTGTTAACACAATTGATAGATATGAACACTTTTTATCGTTGTCATTTGGGGATTTCATCTTTTGTCATTATCATTTATCATATTTGATTACAGAAAATATTGATCTATTTTGATGATCAGGGGTGCCATGGACAGAAGATGAACATATGTCATTCTTGATCGGTCTAGAAAAGCTTGGGAAAGGCGATTGGAGAGGGATTTCAAAGAACTACGTGCCATCAAGAACCCCAACTCAAGTGGCTAGCCATGCACAGAAGTATTTCATCAGAGTGAATACAACACGAGAGAAAATAAAACGCCGATCAAGCCTTTTTGATATGCCTTTCCAAGAATCAGTAACTTACTGCTCCTAAATTTTTTGCATATTTCTCCTTCATTTTCTTGAATTTGTGATTATTAATGTGTCTCTTGCAAGTAAGTTTTCAAAGTGATGAATGAATCTTTAAATGTTCAAATAACAATGTTTCTCAGCTCCAATCTTTTTTGCCAATGGCCTGTAATGAATTAAAGACTGCAATTGGGTGCATAACCGTTTATTACAATTAAGAAAACCACCCGAATATGGATTAATTTTCATGAAAGTGACTGTTCTTGTCGATTTAAGTTCTTGTTTCAAAGCTTCCAGCCCAAAAAAGAAAGACAACACCATAAATAAAAAAACATAAAGTGCACCTGGACTGTCCAATCTATACTTGTTTCTATTTATGCCTCCTCTGGTTGTCGTTTCTTGAATTTTTTTCCCTGGATCTCATTATTCAGTAGTATTTGGATTACTGGTTTCAATACTTTTTTGATGATGTTTATTCATTCGTTCTGTTTAAAAATTATATATATATATATACAAATATGGGTGATGCACCTTTTGGTCTTAATGTTCTTTAAGATGCTGAACCCATAGGAGTAACCCTAATTGCTACTAATGTTGGTAATTATTGTTGATATTATGCAGCATATGGTACCAAGAGCACCTGTTCCCATCTCTCTAAGACCTCCAGTTTCACCTCTGGCTCGAACTTATGAGATTCAAGATTTCAATTACAGGTCACGCATGGTAAGAGAGCTAGACTGTTTAAGATCAACTTGCTTGCCCCTAGGCTTGGTTCGTGAAAAAGATAGTAGGCTTGAGCTTAGGTTACCTAAGGTTCGAGCGTTTGGAAATCCTTAAGGGTGCATTTAGTACACGGATCGGACCCAATGGAACTGGACTGGGCAAGCGAGAGTGAGGTTCGTGGGTGAAAGAATTGTGGAAGGTTCGAGTGTTTTAATTTCACATAAGTAGTTTAGTAAATTTTTGTCCTCTCATAGTTTATCAACAAATTTTTGTTCAGTTATGTCTAGTTAGGTCCTGCATATCAACAATTTTTTGACTCTTATAGGCTTGATGGGCTTGGCTCATTCAAAGCTATTGAGGCCCTGGAGCTCAGTTGGGATGGTAAATGGAGCCACACGTCTCATCTACAGTCATAAATCAAAAAACAAAGCTAGGAGTAAAATCGGTTGCTAATTCCAATTATCCTTGGCCAATTAACACGGTTTTAAATTTTGTGTTTTGCAGATTGGTTATACGAGCAGCAGATATAAGCAAAAATTCGGTGATCCTAAATGTCCACTGGCGCTCCCTTTTGTACCAATGGCGAGTTACCCAAACCAGGACCGTGTTTGTGCCGTCAACAGGCATGGGGTCCCCCACTGAAGGTTTTATTTGTGAAACGTCGTTCGTGCTGATAACTCATGGTCATCTAGGAGTGGATAAAGTAATGGAGTGAAAGCATCTTCTGTTTTGGTTGTTGCAGAAGAATAGAGTTTGAAGTGGTTAGATTAGAAGATGAGTTAAATTTCATTCTTTTTGCTTTACTTGAAAAGACAACACATACCAAATATATGCAAAGATATTAGTTGTTTGTGAAATGGCAGGTAGTATTTACCATGAAAGATGGCAAATCAACTTGTTGAATCTTGTTGCTAGCAAGTATTCAAGGCCACTAGAAAAATACCATTTGATTCCACTTTCATAGGAATCATTTATATATGGAGAGAAGAAAGGGACGCTATCAATCTACGAGAAAGACAAAGAAGGCATATTCCTCATATTTTATTGCTCCCCATAGAAATGTAAAAAGAAAATATTGTTTTTATCATCACAACTAGCATTGAATATAAAATGTACTAATAGATCATATAAAACTGTTTTTTCGAGTTTTCCTAGATGTAAAATCAATCGATAATTCCTTCAAAATTATTATTATCTATCATATCATTTTTATATAGCATCGTAAATCCGTTCCACTGCCAAACACATTCTATGATATACCTTTAGTTTATAGATTAACATTATTTTTTGTCACAATATTGACTATTCAGATAAATATTTTATGTAAATCAATATAGATCACTTGGATATTCTTGTCACATCATGTTAATGCTTTAAACTTTTTAGGGTTAACACAAATTTCTTTTTGGAACCATCAATCTTAGAATCAAAAGTTCATTTTGGTTATATTTTGAGATCTTATTATTGTTTTAGAGATAACAAAAGTATTTAAGATTCATGCAAGTAGTATTATTAGGTAATAGGTAGTCGATAATGTATGAAAAGACAAAAGTAATTTTGGGATCCTAAATATCCATATAAGTTGGGTCGTCGCACATGGTTGATAATTTTTTGCAAATGATAGAAGTTTTCTTAGTTAATAACAATAAATCTACTATATTCTACTACAAAAAATAGAATTCATGGGTATGGAATATTCAAAAGAGTCACTGAGAAATGAATGATTGAGAAAATATCAATGTTTTCTAGACAAGGTAGTTCTATAATAGTAGATAGAAAGCTTAGAGAAACAATAAACAATACTATAAAATGAACAATCAATTAATTTTTTAACTTTCCTCTCAATTTTTTAACAATACTATAAAATGAATAAACAATAAGACTGGTTTTCCTTTCAAAACTTTCCTCCCAAATGTGGGATGAAAGAGAAGGAAGGAAAAGAAATAAAATAATTACAATTATAAATATTTATAAAGGAGAAAATCGCATCAAAATAGAACCAACTTTGAGTTAATTCTTATTTTGGGAAACCAACTTTCAAAAGTATCATTTTAGGGTCTAGAACAAACTTTTCATATATCTAAAGGTCTAGTTTACTTGTTGAATAGGTTACCGGTTACCTCTAACATGACGTGGCAAAACAATAATAAAAAGCATCTTACATGTATGTTACAAAATAACATGTCATTAACTTATTATTAATTGAAAAAATAAAATAAAACAAAACATTAGATAAACTTTAAAGATTTAGGTGACTTCAAGAACAACAGTGACATTGACGGTTAGATAAACTAAAAAAAATCAAAACTCAAACAAAAGGTTAGATAAGCTTTAAAGATTTAGATGACTTCAAGAACAATAATGAAAGTGACGGTTAAATAAATTACAAAATCAAAACTCAAACAAAAGGTTGGCTTCAAGAACAACAGTGAATCAGTGATGGTGGCAAAAGAACATCAAATGGTGGTGATGGTGATGGCATGTTGCAGGGGTGTTTCAGATATCAAGAAGGTTAGATGATACTCCATGATTTTCAAATCTCAAATACACGGTTGTACAGAACCATCATGGCGACAATGATGAGGAAAATCAGTCGCCTCACTGCCACCGATTGTGCAACGACTTCCTTCTCCACCTCTTGTTGCCAGTTATCTTTTCAAACGGCTTTGTTTGGCAGCAGGAATAGCACATCTCGAACACCGATTTGTGTTAAGATACATCCCCATTTTCAGATCTCGAAGACAAATCTAAAGAAGAGCCGCGCTGGAAACCTATATTTGTATGGGCTCATTTCTTCTTTTGGGAACTTAAATCTTTAACGGTTTTTATTACTTCTCTTGGTGTTAGTCACCTATTTGATATGAAAAATATATCCACATTGTTATATTTGAGTAACATAGATGTTTGATTAGCTAGGTTTTTCAGAAACTTTTGGACTAAGTTCCAATTCTTGACGAAAATCTATTCATTTTTTTTTGTATCACATATATTATAAAAAAATTATTCATGTTTTGATTTATGATCGATTATTACAGTTTGATTTAAGCAAATTATAGAGTTTGTTCATGTTCTTGGTGATTGAAGAAGATGAAGATTCATGAGGAAAAAAATAAATTTAAAATATTGAAATTTAGAAAATACACCATATCATAATTATTGACACCATGTCATCATTCTGGATTTAATTTTTTAATTTGAAATATGATGTGGACTCTTAGTAGGCAAATACCTATTTAATGTCAGTATTTACAGATTATCAGGTAAACGAGACCCTTAAATGTACAAGAAGTTTGCTCGAGACCCCAAAATGATACTTTTGAAAGTTGATTTCCCAAAGTAGGAATTAACTCAAATTTTGGTTCCATTTTGATGCAATTTTCCCTTATATAAAACTACATATTTAACTCATCAATTACAACATACTCGAAAATAAATAAGGATATATTTGTAAAAATGACATTTCTTTTCCTTTCTCTTCTCAACATGAAAATTTGTTTTCCTTCCTTCTCCTTCCTTCTCAAGAACACAAATAAAAAAAAATATTTTCTTCATTTTTCATCCATTTCTTTTTTTCTTAAATTCAAGAACACAATATTTTCATGCATTTTAAATACGGATAATTTTGGGCGGTTACAAATTATTCATAATCTAATCCCTATATTCATGCAATTTAAATATGAACACATTTCATATTTTATTTGTGAACACGATTCGATAGCCATATGAACATATTTTATTATTTAGTTATGAACATATTTCACTTGTAAACACGGTGCGATATCCATACCTTGGTGTTCACCGGTGAATATCTAGTTCGAAAATAAATGTTTCGATCACAATTTTTCCTAATGAATAAATATTGGCAAGAATTTTGAATAAGATATGTTTTTACATAGTTTCCAAAATAGGTGGATGTAAAAATGTATTGTTTCCTAAATATATAGGTGGAGAGATTACCATGGTGCGGAGAGATTAAAGGGATAGTGGATAGTTTTCTTAATCGGTGTTAAGGATAACATTACAATTTTGTCCCTTGTTCACTCGTGAAATTAAAAAATTAAGTGTGTTTCAGTGTGCCAATATTACAAATTTGCCATTGTTCTTATCCATTGATTACAAAACTAAATGGATGAGATTGACTACAAAATTTGTACTATTTCATTGGTTAACAAATAAAGTTTTTTTTTTTATATATATATACATACTAGAAGCGTACTCGAGTAATGCAACGAGATATATCATGATTTTAATATTTCATTTTATTCTTTATCTCAACTGATGTTATAATATTGCTTTATGTGATTTTGAGAAAACGATGATGTTTTTATTTTTGAATAAAATATAT